GATTCTGGGGCTTCGTCTGACATACTTTGGACATGTTGCCAGGAGGGATGGGTCCTTGGAGAGGGACATCATACTTGGGAGGGTGGAGGGACAGCACAGGAGGGGAGCACCCTCTATGAGATGGATTGATTCAGTGACTGGGGTAATAGGGATGGGTGTGTCAAAGGCGGTGCGGTTTGTGCAGGATAGAACAGGGTTTAGGGCTGTTGTGCATAGGGTCGCTATGAGTCGGAAATGACTCGATGGCACATAACAACAACAACAACATAAACAAGAGGCTGCACGATACAGACATCTTGAATTTTGCAAAAATACATATGGTGAAAGTTTTGGCACCAGTAGCCAGAATATTAAAAGATTGGGAAAGTGTGCTGTTAGAGACCTTTCCAAAGGGCTGAAGAACAACTTTGTCAGTCTGGAGACTAATTTGCACAGATATAAGCCATTGTTTTTGCAATCACTTGTTATGTATAAGAGAGCTGGACAATGAGTAGGGATGATAGAAGGAGAATTGATGCCTTTGAGTTGTGATGTTGGAGAAGAGTATTGAATATACCATGGACTGCTAAGAGAACAAATAGATCCATCCTGGAGATGATGAAACCAACTTGTTCCTTAAAGGTCAGGATGCTGAAGCAAGGAGGGACCTCACACTTGGGAGGGTGGAAGGACAGTGCAAGAGAGGAAGACTATCAATGTGATGGATTAACTCAGTGACTTGGGTAATGGGTGTAGATGTGTTGAAGACAGAGAGGTTGGCACAGGATAGGGCAAGTTTAGGGCTGTTGTATGTATGGTTGCTATGAGTCTCAGGTGACTCAACGTCAAATAACAAAACAACAATAAATGGAAACAGAATTCCGGAAATTTGAGATAGGGGTCAGGAAGTAACTGCTTTTGCTCTGTGGGATGCTTAAGAAATGTCAGGTTTTCAAAGAATGGGTTTTATTGGTTATTTGAGCCTTTTACCCAGTAGTTCATGAAAGAAGCTATTGGACTCAACAAACAATAGAGAAACTAAAATATCTTAAATCTGCATTTCTACTCAGATTTTAAAAGTATCAGCATGATTGTCAGTTCCACTCTATGTACACAAACATTTTATATACAATTATTGTTGTTGTTGTTATGTGCCGTCGAGTCGTTTCCGACTCATAGCGACCCTATGCACAACAGCCCTAAACCCTGCTCTATCCTGCGCCAAACGCACCGCCTCTGACGCACCCATCTCTATTACCCCAGTCACCGAATCAATCCATCTCATAGAGGGTCTTCCCCTCCTGCGTTGTCCCTC